GGGAAGTGGCCTGACCTCACTGGGCCTGTCTCCCCAACTGTAAAGAGGAGCTGGTGATTTTTATCAAGCCCGGGGCTGCTTCAAAGATTAGAAGGAATGCAGCAGGTAGAGCACTTAGCATAGGAGGCCAGCTCTGAACCACAGGTGGCCTCTGTGCCAGAAACTAAAGAAACTGTGTTTGGAGGTTGACTTCAGAATAAGACTGCTATTCCCACTGGCTGCCATTTCCAGTCTCTTCACTGTAGTCTCTCTTTCTCTTAGGTTTGTGTTTTTGTGTTTTTGAAACAGGGTCTCTGGTTGTCAAGGCTGACCTTGAATTCCTGACCCTCCTGCTTCCCCCACTTGGACTGCTCTTCCGTACCTATCTGATTTCCCAGAACAACTTGCCAATGAGGAGACCAAGACTGGGCAGTTAAGTCATTTGCCAGGGTTTTACGCAGGTCCTCAGCAGCAGAGGTGGTGCTGGATCAGGCTTGGCTGTCGTCTGAGCTGCTGCCATCACTGCCCTGCTCTCTGGAATGACACAAGGAGATAGAAATTAAGGGGCTTTCTTTGATATTTACAAAGATGTCATCCTGAGCTCAGAAAGTGTGGGGAGAGGAAGGCTGTGTGAGAAAATGCCCTCCAGAGCTTGGTGCTGGAGTCGGGATTGTAAACGACTTTCCCTGCTGTCCAGTGTGGACCACAATGTGTTCTTATCCAAGCGGGTCACATGACTGTTTAGTCGGGGATGTGTTCAAACTTTAGCCCTGAAAGCCCAAGTTAGAATAATAGTCATGACTTTTGAACATTTGGCCCCTAATTGCTTCGTTTCTCCATTTTTCTTTTGGGTCACCCCAGACACAGGCTGATACTTGATAGGACAATAATTCACATGTTATGGGAGTAGATCATATGTGGTCGGAAGGACTGGTAGCTTGGAGACTTGGGTTCTGACCTTAGCTATGTCATGGATCTGTTGAGAGAGACGGGGCTAGTGACTTAATCTCTCTCAGCCTCAGTTTCTCCTGAGTCAGACAGATATAATGAGAACCTAGCCTTCCTGCCTCAGTGATGAGTGTAAAGATTAGTGTGGCAAATGATAGTTCCAACCCTGTTGGCAAAGACATCCCTTAGCCAGCAGGGACGTAAAGAAGGGTTCCCAATATTTCCCCATGCTAGCTCTTAGTCAGAGAAATTTTGATGTGACCCCAGGTGTGTAGTTATATAAAATAGGTAGACAAATGACACTCTTAATGCCAATAAGTCATTTTTAAAGTTTAAAGTTAAATCATATAATTTGACCATCTATTATAGGTTAAAACAAATTTGCATATTAATAAGATAGACATGCTTATTTATGTTTATTCATAAAGAATTAGATCTTGGCTATATATAAGACTGCAAGATGTTTGTTTGCTCTGAAATGCCCATGTGTGTATCACACGCTTGTTTGAGCATGGGCCACTTTTCCACATGCGCCTTTCTACATGCCCCCTTCCTTTGCTTTACCAGAAGTTGTGTGTGTATGTGTGTATTATGAGGAGTTTTCAGCCCTTTTCTCTTTTTGCCTCCATTTGAGTAGTCTTTGTTGCTTTGTCTTCAGGTTTGTCAGTCTTCTGCATGTCTGTCTGCCTGCCATTAATTTCACCTGGTACAACTTTTATTTCAGCTATTGTTCATTTTCTGCATCTTCCATTTCTTTCTAAATTATACTCACAATTTCCTTTGATGTCTTGAAAATATGTAAAGTGGATGTTTTTACAATACCACGTGTGAATTCTGTCATTCGTATCACTTCCGCATCTACTTGAGTCAGCTAATGCTGGTCTTGGTTGTGAGCCACATGAGCCACACCTTCCTGCTTGTCTGCAGAGCCAGGGTTTCCCACTGGAAGGCAGCACCATGCACCTTCCTCTGCTGAGCATCTAGATTTTTGCTATCCTCTCTGAAAGACTGGTGCCTTTATTCTGTTACTCTTTGGCGGTAGCTGTATTTCTCAGACTTGCTTCCTAGCACTGTCGGGAGGGCCTGGGGGAGCCATAGGACTGTCTTAACCTAGTTGCTGTGGCCTCTAGCATCTCCGCTGAAAGCTCCAGTATCCCCAGGAACTATACTCTGGCATTTTGCAGGTTCGTCTCCTGGCTTGAGGGTGTGCTGGCAAGTGTTCAGCCTCCGAGCCCCTGAAGTTCATTCCCTCTTTGGTGCTCTTCTTTGTGAGTTGTGGCGTCTCAGCTGTTCAGCCAGAGACCCCCAGGAACCCCACACAGACACCAAGAACTCTTTCTCTGCAGTTTCCTCTCGGCTCCAGCTGCCTTGACTTTGGAGTGCTGACCCTGATCTCGGCAGCCCATGAGCCCCCAGCCTGTGCCGTGCTGCCCGGTGCCTGCAGTCCACTGGTGGAGCACACTGCTTTCCTTTGTTCTGCTCACTTCTCCGCCTTAATGCAGGGAGCTCGTGTTTCCCTGTGGGACTCCCTTGGCTCACAAACCTGTAGGGTTTTTTGGCTATATTCTTCATCAAGAGGCCTTTGCAAGAGCTACAGAGATGGCTCAGCAGCTAAGAGTGATTTCTCTTCTGGCACTCTGGTTCCAAGGGACTGACACTCTTCTGGCCTGTGGGGGCAGTAGACATACATGTGGTGCTCTTACACACTTGCAGGCAAAGACTCATAAAATAAAATAAGTCTTTTCAAATAAAAACAAGATTTATAAAGTCTTAGCGCTAATCAAACCCACAAAATGTCAACAGAGTCTTTCTGCTCTGCTTCTTGGAGAAACTCAGAATGGAGACCCATAGCCAGCACTAACTCTCACTCTGCCTCAGGAGTTACGATCAACTAGTAACTGGATGACTAAATAGTAGTACACCCATGCAAAGGAATATTATTAAAGGAACAGGGTATGCCCACGACATGCTATAACATGGGCATACCTTGAAAAGACTTGCTAAATGAAAGAACCAGCCACAAACACACAAATGTATCATATAATTTCATTTATATGGAGAATCCAAACTAGGCAAATTTATAGAAACAGCATAGTTTAGTGGTGGTCTAGGATTGCAGTGGGCATGCAAAGTGATTGGTGATGGGTACAGGGCTACTTTTGTGAAGGGGAAAAAACATTCTACAGTTGGAATGTAGTTACGGTTGTCCAATCTTGTGAATTTGCTAAAATAAATATTGAGCTCCATGGTTTAGGCAGGCAGACTGTGTAGTATATGAAATTAATCTCAATAAGGCTGTTTTCAAGATATTTGTCTGTGGTGTTCTCCATGACAGAAAGAAGGTAATGAAAGCATGGACAGGGGCCTTGGTGAGATAGAAGGAAAGCTCAGCTCTCATGCTAAATCCTGTCTGTGTTACGTGTGGTATTAATTCCTATTCTGGAAATGTGGCCTTAAAACGGTTCACACAGTCTATCAAAGCCCAAATATCCCCCAATGTTGTCCTTAAAACTTGTCTTCTTTTTCTTCTATTCATGCTTATTCTTGCCATTTCGATGTGGTTTCCCCTTTCCAGGATTCTTGCCAGCTATGAGCTTGTGTCATAGACTGCCAGAGGTGTCACACGGCCTCTGATCTGTCCCCTGTGTGGACTCTGTCAACAGGACAGGGTGACTCTGGCTAATACCAGCTGTGGAAGAGTAGGGACATGCCCTCTGCTGGCTTTTCTTCTGATGGTATCTTACATGTGCCTGGACAAGGGTAGTTATTCATTTAAGCCAGGCGTTGTTGGCTAAGGTTTCTGTCCCACCCGGTCCTGCAGCCTTTCAGTCCCAAAGACACATAGAGGTGTATATTAATCATAAACTGATTGGCGTAGTAGCTTAGGCTTCTTATTAACTCTTATAACTTATATTAGCCCATAATTCTTGTCTGTGTTAGCCACATGGCTTGGTACCTTTTTCGGCAAGGCAGTCACATCTTGCTTCCTCTGTGTCTGGATGATGACTGCAGAGTGAGCTTTCCTCTTCCCAGAATTCTCCTGTTCTCAAGGCCCCACCTCTACTTCCTGCCTGGTGGCCCTGCCTATACTTCCTGCCTGGCTACTAGCCAATCAGCGTTTTATTAAACAAGTACAAGAAACAAATCTACAGGGTAAAGCCAGTGTCCCGCAGCAAGGCATCGCCTTACTGTAAAAGGAGACTGCACTTTAATTTCCCGGCCACGCAGACCCAAATAATTACATAAAATATATTAATTACAGCACCGTTTGGACGATGACTCAGGCATATTCCTAGCAAGCACTTATATCTTAAATTAACCCATTCCTACTAATCTGTGTATTACCACAAGGCTGTGGCTTACCAGTAAGGGTCTGACATCCTTCTCCTTTGGCAGCTACATGGCATCTCCCTGACTCCACCTTCTTTTTCCCTGCATTCAGTTTAGTTTTCCTGCTATAGGCCAAAGCAGCTTCTTTATTAACCAATGGTAATAAAACATTCACAGCATACAAAGGTGAATCCCACATCACCCTGCCTTCAATAAAAGAACTGTGATTGATCTGTGTGTATGGCTGACATCTCCTCTTGGAGGATGGTCCTCACCTAGCAGTATACTGTAGCTGGGTTGGTCCCCACCAATGGAAAGGGTGGGGCTTGACTGATGGATTGAGATTGTATCTTTTATTTGCTGAGTTCTTGTGGGAATCTTGAGTAGTACTCTGTGAGTGCATATAAGTCAGCAGCAGCAGCAAGCATGTGCTGAGTGGTCGTGCTCACTGCTCCCGTTGCAGTGTTCTCAGCTGACTTCAGCCCCCACCCCCACCCCCGTTCCTTTCCCTGGATACTGAATTGAAGACTGTAATGTTTCCTATGGTTTATATCTCAGGTTATTATTGTCCATTAGCTCAAATAAGTGGGTTTTTTGCTTTGTTTTGATTTTTAGATTATACAGCCCCAATAGAGCAACTCCAGCATCCCCACAGTTTTCCCCTGTAAAGCAGGGCTTGCCCTATGTTGTCCATGTGGACTGAGGACACTGTTCATCAGGTGTGGTTTGTGGTTTTCCTCCAGGATCATCCATGAAGACGGCTTCTCTGGAGAAGATGTAAAGCAGTACAAGCCTGTTGTCTACAGCAACACCATCCAGTCTCTGGCAGCCATTGTCCGGGCCATGGATACTTTGGGCGTGGAGTATGGTGATAAGGAGAGAAAGGTAAGCAAGTCTCTGAGGCCATAGGCACAGGGAAGAAGCCTTTGGCTCTCCCTCCTCCTGACAGTGCCTGCTGGAACTGGGAGAGCTTGTCCTCTGGGGAGGGGGGTGGGCAGTAGTCACCAACCTAAGCCTTATTTTCCCAATCCCTGGCAAAGTCAAGGGCTTCTCCATTTCTCTCCAGAAAGTCATCAACAAATAAAAGCCCCCCTCAAAAAATCCCTGATCTGCTCTGTAGATGAGAAAGAGTGAGAGAATGTTTTAAGTTGAATCAGCATAGCCTGATTAAACACCTGCCCCTGAACAATGAACTTGAATAGCAGAATATTTATTGAACAAAGACCCCTTCACTAGGTGCCATCTTCCTACTGAGGAGAGCTGTCCTTACCTTGTAGGAGGGAAGCAACCATTGGTTTGCCCCTCATTCCTCACACCAAAGGTGTGCTTCTGCCTCTCCTGGGAGCTGTGAGGCCCTCCTTTCTGCAGAGCTGGCATTCTAACTCCAGGACTGTTTCCTGAGAAGCCTGTGGAGGGCTCTTGTTTGTAGATGTTTGCACCCACTGCAAGGCTAAGCCACAACCCCTGTGGAAAAGCTTAATGAAAGGAAGGAGGGAGGAAAGGAGGTGTGAAAACAACCTGAAAATTCTGCCCAAAAGCTGGACTTGGTCCCCACCCACAGACCAAGGGGAGCAGCTGGAGACCTTCAGCACAGCGGGACCACATTGGACCCTCTGAGTGTCTGGTGACTTCACTGCCTGATACACATTCCCTACCTCACAAATGAAAGCTATCCTGGCCTTCTCGAGGTCTGACAAATTATCTGTGACAGAGAACTTTACATGTAAAATTTAGTATATTATGCACAAATCCTAATTTCATGGAGCAGAGTCACCTCAGCTAATGTTGACACTTCAGGGCCTAGAGTAATGGGTGGTTGACAGGGTGGCTGCCTAGGGTGGGCAGTAGAGTCCTGACAGACCTCCCCCTTTCTCTGTCTGCCCTCCCCAGAGGCAGGCCAGGAAGCTGACAGTGTATTGCATGTTCTTCTCTAGAAGGGGAACAGGGGTGCCTCTGGTTTTCCAGTCGTGTTCCCGACAGCATTCTCCATGCCTTCTGGGTGCAGGAGTGGGCACAAAGGGAACAGTGCTCAGAGAAAGTGATGATCAGAAAGAACCTGCTGGGGCCGCAGGGTAACTGGAACACAGTGACTGGAGATGAATGCAGTCTCGTTCATCTTCACGGCAATAGCAAATGTGGCATGAAAGAGTTGTCGTCTGCTGAGCCCCTGCTCCCTCCAAATACAAGGCTGAGTCCTGTGTTTATTCTACCAGAACATAGTAGGTCATCAAAAATCATCCCTTGAATAGAATTATATTCTTACTTTTCCCATTCTAAGGAGAGGGCAGTACCTGAAATTTTGTAATATAATGGCCAGATGTACACTGCTCAGTACCTGTGTGTCCTTGTGTGAAATGCTGCAGAGGTTCAATGGCTTGATGATGAAGGTTGAGGAGCTGGTCATCTTAGGAAGATGGGACTTGAGCATGACCTTTCTGTTACCTGTGGTCAAGGCTGGGTAGGTTTCAAAGATGGAAGGACCAGATTGAGAACTTCACTCGATGTTTCCTGGTTCCCAGCACTGTCAGAGAAAGAATTCAGAGACAGGTGGACAATGAGAGCACCTGGGAGAACAGTTATTGCAGGACAGGGGTACACGCTCAGGGTGTGAATGCAGGCCTCTGAAGAGATCATGCTGTCGAGTGTTGGGTTGCTCTGCTTATGGTGAACCTTAATGGAGGGAGAATTGTTCTTGAACTGAATGGCAGGGTCATGGGCAGAGAATGGGGTGGGATTTCCCAGTCAGGTTTCTCCTGGTTTTGTCCTTATTTGGGGCTTTCCATATGCGGCATGGTGTCACCTACATAGTAGGAATAGGCAATTTTATGACGTTAATGATATGGAGAGGCCATCTTAATGGTGCAAAGAACATTTAGTGGTCCTCTTGATCAGCCATGGTATCCCCGGTGGTCTTGGGTGGTCATGTGATATCCTGTTATATAGTACAGCTGCCTCCGTTTCTAGTTTGCCTTGAAGTTTTCCTTTTTTCCCCATATCTATCTAGGTGACCTCATTTTCTTGAGATAGTCAAAGGAGTCTCCTTAGGGGAAGGAAAGACTACAGTAATTGATGTCTAGGTAAAGTTTGAAAGGTCCCCATTTGTGGGAGAGGGGCATGGCTGAAGCAGCCAACCAGTATAAATAGGTAAGTCAGATTTGGTAAGCCCTGGAAGGTAGCCAATCCGTGCTGACAGGAAGCAACCATGGCTAGACTGTGCTAGAAAGGGATGGGGTGAAGTGAATTTTAGACACTCCTGATGGCAGCCTTAGGATGGCCTCATCAAAGAGAACCCAACGTGGGGAACAGATCTGGAGTCTGTGACAGCAGAGATGTGGGGTCAGGTGAGGAGTCTGAAATGCAGGAGCACGGGGAGGAATAGTGAGGAGGAATGGATGGCTTTGCTGATGCATTGACATTGGGCAAAAACAAGGACTGAGAACTTGTGTGACCAGTTTGGAGCCGGATCAGCCTGAGGCAGAGAAATAAAAGGCTCCTCTGGTAGTCGCTTTTAGTACCAAGAGCCTGAACAGGTAGATGGAGGGAGTCAGGCATAGGAGCTCCAGGAGTGGAGGCTTCTGCATCTTATCTTCTAGGATCTGTGTTAAGTAATGTGCCCTGCTACTTAAGAAATACTGTTTGATGTTTAACCCTAACAGTCACCTTGCATTGGTTGCTACTGCTGTCGTTTTACTAGCGGAGAGAGAGCAGCAGAGTGATGCACCCATAGTCCTTCCACTCCAAGTGTGCCTGCGGACACAGAGACATACCTGCCTAAGAAAACTACAGTCCACAGCAAAGGCTCATATAAACAGGCTCGGGCCAACCAGGCAAGAGTACTCCTAAACTAGGAATGGTACTCACCTGTAATCCCGGCACTGGGGAAGCCGAAGCAGGTGCCTAGTAATCTGAGACTGCCCAGGGCAACGCAGCAAGATCCTGTCCAATCTTCTTAATCAGTAAAAGAATTTGAAAAGGGAACGAAAAAAGCGGCACCTGCTGCAGTTCTCTGGTTTCCTTCCCTGTCTTCCTGGTGTCTGCTTTAGCCCCACACCCCTGAGTTCACCCTGCACTCGTGCCTGGTGCTCCAGAGACCGTCTTCTCTGCCCCTAGCCCACAGGCTACCTTTGCCTATCCCTCCTGTATTTCCCATGGCTCCCCTCCCTCTGCTGCCTTCTACCCTTGCTGTCTACCTGTAAGGGACTCTGTCTCTACCATCTCCCTCTCGCCATATCTTCTCTTTCTCTGTGCCCCTCCATTTCTCCCCCCCCCAACTTCATCACCCATTATCCTGGAACAAATTGCCTTCACCTTTCCAGCTGAAATTCCCCAACTCCCTTCCCTCCACCTCGGCCCTCAGCTGGCCTGTGCTCACTGTGAAAGAGATTACTGACGAGACAGGACAGTGGCCGAGTTTGAAGACTCCTTAACAAGACAATGGAGAAGTAGTCTTTGAATGATACATGTTAATAAATTTTACCACACACATGCATGCATGTGTGTAAACAGATATGAAATATATGATTTACATATATGAAATATAAACTAATGGAACAGTAGACAGCAGAAGCTGAGGAAGGACAGTGCGGAAGACTCAGAGGTGAGGTCTCCCTCTGCCTCCTGTCCCTGCCCTACCCTTTAACCAGTCCTAGAACCAGAGCTGCTTCCCCGGGGCTGTCATAAACTTCTCTTTCTGTGTGAAGGATCCTTTCAGAGAAATTCTCTGAACTACCTTGTCTGATAGTGTGTGGCCCTGGGGCCTTCATTTCAATGGCCAAAGAGCCCAAACAGGTCTTGCAGAGTTCCCCTCTTGTTCACAAGTGCGGAAGGCACAGCCTGGTCTAACCACATTTCTACACAGCCATCTGCTCCATTGAGCCTCTACATGAAAAGACACGTTTTCCCTACACCTCTCAGCCCTGAGTGCTTCTGACACTCCTCTGTCACCTAAAACTGTGATTAAATCTCTCCTGTTTCCTTGTCCTCAGCTTAGCCTTTCTCGCCTGTGCAAGAACAAAGAACGCCTTGAACTCGTGAGCCTTGGCTAGTAAGCATGCTATCAGCTTCTTTAAAAAATATTTGTGCACATGCTGAATTCTCTTAATTATAAACTGCTGGAAAGTAGAATACATATCTAACATGCACCTGACTCTAGAAAGTGATGGAGGTTGGATTCAGATGCCACCTCTGCTGTTGGAGGAGGGCCACTTGTTGGTTCCCAGCCGCCAGCTAGCTTAGACCCAAAATAATCACACAGAAACTGTATTAATTAAATTGCTGCTTGGCCCATTAGCTCTAGCTTCTTATTGGCTAACTCATATTCATTTAACCCATTTCTATTAATCTGTGTATTGCCACATGACTGTGGCTTGCTGGGTAAAGTTTCCAGCGTCTGTCTCCGGGGAGCTCCATGACTTCTCCCTGACTCCACCCTTCTTTCTCCCAGCATTCAGCCTAGCTTTCCCAGCCTACCTAAGCATCACGTGGCAGTGGCTTACTGGCAAAGGGTGTAAGCCAGGCTCAGAGATGAAGGACATTTTTATAGGAGTCCAAACTGAGCAGGACTCCTGCATATTTGAAGAAGTCACATTTGAGTTAAACTACTGGAGTGCTTGCCCTTGATAACTGTGTTGTCCATGTGCTGAGATGCAAGAGACCTCAGCTGCAGTGGCAGCCTCTTCTCTTGAGTAAGTCACTCCTAGATTTCAGTAGGCAAGTTGGGGTGCATTTGGCTTCAAGCAAACATAACCACACGTGCAGTGGCGAAGCCATGGGGATAGCACTGTTTGCTGGAAAGGGGTCCCAAGAGTTACCACTCCCAGGGCTACCTTGACAACTGTCCAGCACCAGGATGGTTCTCTGGGTGCTTTTGATTCAAAGGAAGAGAA